ATTATTATTATTATTATTTTCTTATAAAAACAATGTTGGATTAGGCTAGATTACGCTGGAATGTTTCTTTCAGGACGGAGGAGAAATTCCAAAATCGAGAGTAATATAGAACTTTATGGTAAAGTTAGGGAACAAGTAAAAATGTTGGGTTATTATTACACTTGGATAAAAGAAAGATGATGATTGTTGAGGTCTCTTGGACAATTCGAATCGTCCAGCCTCTTCGAGAACACAATTTGCCGCAACCGACCCTGATAACGTTACAACCTAATAACAGCGGAACAAGATTCTTGTATCACTCATGCTCAGCCTTGAGGGACAATGGATCGAGGATACCTAGCCTGTCCAGTTTTAACAGGTGTCATCTGGGGGAGCAGGGGTGCTAAACTAGTTAAACTTCGAATTAGGTGGGATTCCGTACGGGACAGCTCGAACCCAGCCATTGCCAAACGTGGAATGACTGACTTAGTTGATATTTCTCATATTTCGAGGGTTTTGCTCCAAGCAGGCCCGCTGTCCACGGACTGCGGCTCGCTATAGATTGATCAGCAGTGACCTCACCACGAATATGGGAAAAAAATCTGGCCTGCTGCCGGAATCTGGTGTTTCCTCTTCCTCAATAGCCAAGATATTCTAATTTCGATTCGCAAAATCCGCATAAAAGCAACGTCTGATGTCGCTTTCTCCGCCTAGAGTATTTAGTTTTACTCTGCACTAAGGGGATTATCAGAGGGATTGTTTTTGGCCAGCGATACTGAAGCTTATATCTAATCAACAGTTTAATTAAGTTACCCTGGCCATCTCCACACCACCCGATCCTTGCTTCGGAAGGGAGGGTCCATAAGCTGCTGGCAAAAGCTGAAAAACGCTATTATAAGAACAACTTTCTCACTGCCAGCGAGTGACATAACATGGAATTCCGTAATTCACCGAAATCAGAACCAACGTAATCACGTGACATAAATAACGCAACGAACCAATCAGAGCTCAGAGTTAGATCAAACGCGAAAGGCCAGTGCCCTTCCCCAATGTTTTCCAACCTAAGCCAAGCACACCAGTTTTGAAGGTCAATCAGAAACCCATTTTAAATTTCCTTTTCGTTCATATCATTTGGGGTCATTCCTCGTTCCATCAATTTTGAAGGTATTTTAAACAATGCGCTCTAGACCAACGCAAGACTCATTTCGTTCGTTCCAAGCAAGAAAACGAGCCTAGTTGAAGTATTAATGTGCCTATCATAGTGTTAGTATACTTCTTGTATCAAATTCCATTTCTCGAGAAGTTTTGCACTTGTGCTTTGTCTCTCGTTCAGGACACTTGGCACAAACGAGTGGGATGTTATTCTTTGTACAGACCCCTAATTACCAACCAGTGTAGGCGGGAAATAAGAACAATTTCTTAGAGTTCAAATCACTGACTGCTAACAACATAGGGGACCCATACAAGCGGCGTATGTTTGTATGTTCGAAATATAAAGAAATGAAGCTCAAAATAAACGTTAACCTACCTCGGTTGTTGTGTATTGTCGTTTCTGCGGCTCAAAAGGAGGAATTTGAGCGACTTGAGGGGTTTTGCGTTGACTGTTACGGCACGTTATAAGGAGATAAGGGTAGAAAGCTCATTTTCGACCGCTCCAGCGCCAAGCCGATTTTTGTGTCTCCTCCTTATACCATGTAGTAACAGTCAAAGCAAAACCCACCAAATCGCTCAAATTCGTCATTCTGAGCCGCAGGAACGACAATACACAACAACTGAGGTAGGTTTACGTTTATTTTGAGCTTTGACATAGACATTATTCGATAT